CTCCAATTTGCCCCATGTATGAAATTGCTTAAACCCTTTCGTTGCCAGGGGGTATGCATTCCTATTGTCAGTACTGATTTTCAGCTAAGCTAGTTACCGAGGACAACTCTGTCGTCGTAAGAGAAAACAACGAATGGTCCTGCCCATGTAGCGAGGCAAATTTTTTTAGGAGAGGCAAAAACTGTTTTCACTTTATAAGTCTTCTATTTTTCACTCTTTTAAGCTGTAATTCACCAGATATCTGATTGGGGTGTTCATAAAGCAGTTTCTAAAGTTTTAATGGTTTAGGTTAAAAAGTAGCAAAGTTATACGACATTCGTCGTTCTCCCTTACATTGCGCACCCACAGGTAAGCCTTGCGATGTACGCGAAAACGACGAATGGTACGGTTCGTCGTTCTCCTTTACACTCGTGAACGTTTATGAGCGTAGGCGATCGTCAGTTGTGACGTATTATTGACAGTAATGACTGTGTACTGGTTGCTAAAAATAAAAATAAGACGTATACAAACTAATTATTATACGTATAAAGTATAATAAAGTTAGGTGTTTGTTATATCCGAATTGTAACTCGGTAAACGTCCTTCGTTTCCCTTCCTCGCTCGGTTAAATACTACAGTCCGTGCACAAATCAGATGTGCACACATTTTCAACAGCTTGATTTAAAACTGTCTCATTCGGAACCAAAGTTTGTTCTCCGTGGTATCTCCTTATTGTATTCTCTTCAGAAGCGAGTTTTAATTTTATTTTCGGTAATTGCAAAATTTTCCCAGCACGACCAAAGGGATCAACAATGTTGCAATGTCAATAATACGATCAGATCATTGAAAAGTCAAACTTTCACGTAAGAAATGTAACAATCTGACAAGACTGTATCACAAATGCTTTCAGGAGAGGTAATGTGACGCTTTGCATTTAATAAAGGATTCAGTTAATCGGATCGGAAAACATACCACAAAGTAGAGATCGACAACGACAGTTTGAATCTGCAAAACATTAGTTTACTCGATCGTAACGTCCATTAGGTCATAAAAAATTGTAAAGCAAGACTAAACTTCGCCACAATACGTCCACTTTTGAAGTTGAACAAAGAAATTTACTGTCATAACGCAGTATTATTAATTGCTTGGTAATTCTGTAATGATGTCGACCAGTGACATGAGCTAGACAAATTGCGACACTATAACCATCGCTAAACATCCAAACAGAAGAATTAAAGCCAGGTGATAAGTGTGACGTACATATAACATCATATAGGCAACCAGGAGCGGGAAATTTTAAAAACTTCCGTGACATCCATAAAGCCTAAAACCACACATTTTCGTGATGTAGAAGAAATTACCTTGTCAGCCTTAGCGCTCTTTAGCTCTCTCACTTTGTTCCCCTGAGCAACTATCTTGGCATCCAACTCTGCAGCGGCAGAACCTGCCTGCTTCCCAGCTGGTGCTGTGGCTGCCTGAGCCGGTGCGACCTCCGAAAAGGTCATGCCAGGTTTCCAGTCCTTGCCACTCGCGGTTTTGAATTCAGCTTTCAGACTCAAGAGCTTTTTCACTTCTGCCTCAATACTAGCCTGCCAGACAAAAGAAAGAGGAAAAGCAACATGAAATATAGTGAAAAAAGTGAGCTCGAGATATCAACAACACAACACAACCCCCCCCCCCCCGATTTGCCCCATGTATGAAATTGCTTAACCCTTTCGTTGCCAGCGGATATGCATCCCTACAGTCAGTACTGATTTTCAGCTAAGCTCATGACCCAGGACAACTGTCTCATGTCTCACTGTTAATGGACTCGCACCCTTGATCTAGCCACGTGTGATATAGTTCATGCTCCGGGTCTTTGATTGTGTCACTTTTTTAACTTTCCTCACTCCCTATATACCCCATCTTACTAATTATTTTGAATAATTCCCAAAAGACAAAAAGTGAAATTTTCTGCATTTTAAAGTCATTTAGGTGATTACGTTTTGTGAGAGCATAAGGCCACCCCAAGACTATATCTGTGTTTATCAATCACTTGCAAACCAAGAAGTAAAGTAATACAGTCGAACCTGTGTAAGACGGCCACCCATTGTCAAGGAGAAAAATGGCCGTATAAGACAGGTGGCCGTCTTAGGCAGGACTGATCAAGATGAAGAAAACAAACCATTCCTTTCTGAGGTCCCAACAAAAGGTAGTCGCATTGTTTTTATTGTTATTTTTGTTGTTGTTTTCGCTGTTTGTTTGTTTTTCTTTTGTTGCTGCTTTTGTGCAAGGGTGACAATAAAACGAAATGTTTCAGACAAGGAGGCCCGAGTGCTATGGTAAAACAAACACACCTGTCGCCACCACTTGAGAACAAGTGACGCTTCTGTCGCAAGTTCATGCTGACGTCCATTGTTACTTTGTTACAGACTGGGTAAACAGTGACCACTCATCTCACTTACAATTTGTGCGAGAGTTCTGGGCGGGACTTATGGGTTATGAGGGATCACACGCTTACCTCACCAGCAGCTGAAAATTGGTAGCTATTGGTCAACAGTGGGAGGGGCCAACGCAACACGAACGGTTGGAGGGACTACCTAACAACAACGACAGGTGATTGAATTATGACGGCTCGCCCACAACGCCAGGGGCCAATGCTGGATTTATGACAAAGCATAATGGAGTCACTAAGGTGGCCGTCTAAGACAGGTGTTATTGCTTAGTGTGATAGGGATTGTGTGTTAAAATATGGTGGCCGCGGCCGCGTTGGACAGGTGCCCGTTTTACACAGTTAAATTATATAGAAAAAACGCAAGGGGGGGAATGGAAAGTGGCCGTTTGTACAGGTGGCCGTCTTATAGAGGTGGCCATCGGGGCAGGTTTGACTGTACTAGCAAATCTGGTACTGAAATGCAAATTTTTGGTTCCAGATCACAAATCCATGTAGTGCTTGTGGCTAAACATCCAAACAGAAGAATTAGTATTAGAGCCAGGTGATTAGCGTGACGTACATGTAACATCATATAGGCAACCAGGAGCGGCAAATTTTGCACAAAGCTTAAAGTCACACATTTTCGTGACGTATGAGAAATTATCGTGTCAGCCATAGCCCTCTTCAACTCTCTCACTTTGTTCCCCTGAGCAGTGATCTTGGCATTCAACTTTGCTCAGGTTCACTGACCGGTCACGATGAAGAGCCTGACAAGCTGACAATCGGACGACACTTTTTTTTCTTTTTTCACAAGTGACAGCACAGATACAAAATTTTATTTATTTTTATAGCGACACAGCGTTTATAGTGGATGACCTGCATGTCACAAATGTTGCGTTCAGTCTATCACCGGCCAAGTTCTAGGTGGTAACGAAATCGAAAGTAATAAGTAATCTTGATATTCCCGATCGAGCCACGGTGTCACACACTTCCGCATGCCGCCATAGCCGCTTGTTCGCGTAACGCGTACTGTCGAACTGGGAAAAGCTGAACGAATACCACAATCGCGACCGGTAAAAATTAACTTACTGACCATATCGGAATTTGTTTTCAAATATTCCAGAACTTTATATATTTTCCAGGGTCTTCCCGCCTTTTTCCTGGGGTAATTTACAGATTTCCTCAAATTCCCGGGTCTCAGCGATTTTTATCAAATGCCTGTCATGTCGCGGGCTATGGAAGACTTGCCCGGCCGGTGAAGGCGGAGGGAGGCCCACGGATGAGTACAAGTAGCGGAAATTCCGGAAGGAGCCTGAAAACTTTAACTCCTGGGTGCAATGGGTTAAGAAGAAGCGATCCTGTAATTCTCTGGTCGACTGGGCATGGTCTTTCAGGCTTTTTACATGCTCTGACTATCCCAGAAGTGGCCTGGGATCAGTTGCGAATGACGACAGGGATAACTTGTATTCACACAAGTCAGTCTAGATGTGTTAGCCTTTTAATACGGAACGCAACTGCATTTACCTTAAAAATTAATATTACAGAGGTTATCGGCCACACTCCTTTCACTGTTTTGAAAATATGATAGCATAGACATAGGGTAACAAACACACTAACAAAGTCATCACTTAGAAGCGGCCCCATGTGATTTTTTGGCATACTTTTATTAAATGAAAAAAAAACAACATGAAATAGAGTGGACATAGTGAGCCTGTGATATCAACAACACAAAAGAACCCCATGATTTCACCTAAAATATATGAAATTACTTAATTATTTTTTAAAAAGATTCCTATGGTGTAAAAGTTTTCGGCAAATAAAGAAAAATCAACTACAAGTAAGTCCTCTCTATTAGGGCTGGGTCACGAGCGCGAGAACGGAACTGAATCGTCACTCTTTCCTGCGGAACGCGGTTCACGATTCACTTCAGCGGAACGCGGAACAGTATCGCCAAACGATTCCCGATTCACTCCCCTGTCGCTGTCACCACCTTGTGGCTTGTTTAACCTACTGCTGAGTCGAGTCACGAGCGCAAGAACGGAACGGAACACTTAGTATAGCTCCCCTTATTTTACAAAAGATGGTATAGTCCAACCCCCCTATTAAAACAAAATGAACGGGGTCCAACCAATAGACAGAAGGAATTTTATGGAGCCATTGTTTTAGCGAATGGTGGGGTTTGGGGGGGGGATTTATGGGGGTCACTAATTGAGGTCAGTTGATAGAGCAGCGCAATAAAGGGTGTGGGGCGGAGAGGATGGCGGAACATCAAGAGTGGGACTCGCGCTCGCCTTGTGGCGTAGTTATAATACTGTTCCGTTGACATGACACTGTTCCGTTTCAGTCAGTGTTCCACCACAGTTCCGCGAGCGCTCGCGTACTCGCGATTCTTTGAAGCCGACTGAATCGCGAATCGTCACTCTCAAATTTGACGAGCAGGATCCAGCCCTACTCTCTATACCATTACTTTTTATCACTTTCATAAGTTACATTATGACCTACATACAAAAAGACGGTGGACATATAAAGAAAAAGAGTGCGTGGACTACGTTTCTCTCCAGTATCTACTTTTCAGAAGTTTCACAAGCAGAGATTCTTTAAAAGATATGCAAGATACCATCTAAGGAGAACAGAAACTAAATTATACTTACACAGAACCACTTGAAACCTTTCTCAACACAAACACCCATTCTGCAGCATGATAGAAATGTAGCCTACCTCACTGACCTATACCCATTTCCTTCTTTTCTTTCATTTTGTTAGAATAAAGAGAAGTACAGAACTCTGATGTCTCCCCCCACTACCACCAAAACAAAACCTCTCAAACAATAAGAATAAATCTATCACAGAGATCTCCCAACCATAGGCTTTTTCTTTACCTTGTCAGCCTTTTCCGACTTCAGGTCACGGATCTTGTTTCCCTGTGTGGTGATGGCGTCGTTCAGTTCCTTCACTTTCTTTCCATCACCACCAGCACCAGACATTATGTCGGGTTTCCAGTCCTTGCCAGTCTTGGCCTTGAAGTCAGCCTTGAGGGCAAGAAGTACCTTGACAGCAGAATCAACCTGGTCCTGAGGAAATTCATACAAATTTTGTAAGTTTTGAAAAATCTGATTTATAAGTTTCTGTAATAGTTTTAAGGCGCTTGCAACACAATTAGGTAATATCAAAGATTCTACATAACAAGAGGGGCCACTCCTCTCTTTGAGCCAATTAAAAAAGTGTCCTCAAAATTCGGTGGCGCCCTCTTCACAAATGCACACCCTTTGCGAACAGTTACCCTACTTGTGTTTAAAAAATCAAAGTGAAACTAACAAGTTTTTGAATAAATATAAATTTAAATTTCGGAAGAACGTTTTTTTAAAATGGTTACGCTGACATAAAACCTCTTCCGTAGGAATGGGTGACTGTTTTCTTCTTTTAATTTGACTTTAGAATGAAAGGCAAGATGTCATTAAAATGAAAAAAACCTAAAACTCCGCACTGAACGAACCCGAACAGCTGATGAACAGCAGTCGATCTGCGCACGCAAGGCGGTGCTATTCCTATTCTTCTTCTGGAGAAATGAAAGAGAGCTTCAAAACAGACTGCAGCGCCATCTGAAGCAAAGAGTGAACTTCCGGCGGACACTTTTTTGGCTGAGTGGCCCATCTTGTTATGTTCTATCTTTGGTAATATTAAGTGCTGAAGATTAGAGGTGTTTCTAGAGAGTAACATATAAAGAAAAGAAGGAGAGAAGATGACGAAAGATCTTTCAATAGGAAAGAAGGAGCAAATCACACCAGAGCATGTGCCAATCACCCACATAAAATCAGATGAACTTCAAAGGGAATGTTTTCTTCCACCACAACACCAACCATTTCTCACTAGGACATAAAGCCACCAAAAAAGTACAACCAGCTGAAAACACCATAGACTGAATACACACAACAGCAAAACAATTGAAACAGCCACAAAATTAGTTTCAAATTGACACCTTCATTATATAGCGTCTTCAAAAAGACACAGAAAGCTCCGATAGACAATAAAGCAGTCACACACACACACAACACACACACACACATATATACACACACAACACACACACCTTGTTAGCCTTATCAGCCTTGAGTTTCCTCACAACATCTCCCTGTGCCACAATCTGATTGTTGAGGTCAATGGCACCGGAGAAACTGGCTGAGGCAGGGGCTTGTTCCTCCTGGGGAGACTTCTCAGCTGCCTTGCCTTTCCTGCTTTGAGCAGCCTGCAGGAAGCACGGAAAATCATAATGGTAATTATTAACCCTTTTCCGATCAAGTTAATTCGCATGGAGTGATATCACCTGGCTTGAGTCAATTTTGAACTTTTTCAGCCAGAAATGGGTTTGCCAAACAAAACAACAACAAAAATTCATAATGCATTTATTTCTCAATCACTTAAAATTGCGTGTGGAAGGAATGTCTGTCGATGAATAGCAGACACTGGTTATCACAGTGATCGAATGAACAGAAAAATTAGACTGAGAAAAAAAAAAATGGGGTAAAAACAAACAGACCCCTATCATTAGTATTATAGGATGCATTACTTTAACTGGGGTATTCCTGTGCGCCAGCAGCCAGGGATGAATGGTGCATTTGATCAATCCCACTTTTCAGTGACATGTTAAGGTGAGTTGACACTGACATAAATTTGCCCAAACCGACTGCAAAAGTGCATGCAACAAAAACTTTTTTTTCAGGCACTAAGACCTTCTGTAAGAGATTCTCTCAAAAAACACGGTTCATCTCCTGAACTATAAATGGTCAATTTGCAATTGGTATTAGGAGTTATGTCTGAAGGTAAATAACTATGCCTTTACAAGACGAAGCAATGAAATGCAAAACGGCAAAAATCCCAACTCATACCATAAGGCAAAGATACACCTAAAACAAATTGGATAACTTGAATCAAAAGGTGATGGGAAAAGACCAGGACAATGTAAGTTTGTTGAGAGCATCTGGGCAGAGAAAGCGGTAAACCGTAATCACCAAGGTCTGTTTCAGACCTTGCACTAGAAGATGAAGAAGACTGATATGATGGGTCTGTACTTCTTCACTAATGTAAAAAGCAGAACGCTGAAATGAATCAATGCTGTTGTGCTTTTTATTTCACTTTAGCAAGGAGTCCAATCTTTTTTATCACTATGACAGAAGCATTCAGCACACCAATATTCCAGCGCTGACAAAGAATGTAAAGCAAAATGTGACAAACCTCTTTCTGGCTGGACTCCTTATGCTTGGATCCTCCTTTAGGCATTTCCTTCTGATGTCCATCAGGGATGTTGATCATAACACAGGGGCTGGCTCTGCCAGTGTGAGGACTGCAGGAAAACAACAAAGGCATTAACTACAAACGCACACACACACATACCAGGAAACAGGCATGAGTACAAACACACTTCCCATTAAAAACATCTTGGTTAATGTAATATTGCAGCGCTCTGAACTACTTTTGAGCAAGAAGTCTATTTTGGAATAGCAGAAGTTATAGGAAAGGAATTAAATTTTACATCATCTCTCAGAATGGCTGGGCAAAAAAAGCCATTAACACCAATTCCCCTCTTTCACCTTTGAATAAGTACGACATGCAAAAAAGCACGTATCTACTTTCAAAACCCACCTATTTCCACAGCAAGCAGAAGGGGGGAGGGGGGGGGGGGGTAGTAGAGAAATTTCCGCCATGAACACCAAGCTACAATGTGGGGCAGGAGGGTGATTTTTTTTTAAATAATTTTTTCGGGGGGGGGGGTGTAAGTAGTATGCAATGGAAGGATTCGCTCCCCGTCCGTCCGTCCGCCCGCTCAAATGCATAGGGTCTCTCCGTCCGCTCGCTCATTAAACAAACTGTTGTTTCTGTCCGATGGGTAGCGAGTAGCGAGTAATGAACTACTCTTCACAAACGGACGACTCGTTACCCGTCCGCTCGTTTGCGGGTAGTGCCAGCGAGTAGTTCGTTACTCGCGGACGCTAATTTTGCGAGCCCGACCCAACTCTACCTCAACGACTTACCTGACTGGAACATAAGGCTGGTCACAGATGTAGTACCCTCTTCTCTGCAGCTGCACAATGTCACCTTTCTTCAAATCAGCAAGGCAAGGATCACCAAGCATCACCTCTTCAGCCTACAACAAAGTGAAAATTTAAGGGTTGTTTTAAGCTTCTCTTCTCAATCATTTTTTAAAACTATTATCTGAAGTACAAGGATCGTAAAAAAGTATGACAAAACACTGCATTTGTTATAAACATTATTCCTGCATCAGAACAAGATTTTCAAAAAGACAGTCACGGCCATCACATTTATCGAAGACTGTGATTTTTTAAAGTCACGGCCATCACATTTATCAAAGATTGTGATTTTTTAAAGAAAAACTATGAAGCATAACAGCTGATAGAAGAATAATCTGCAGTTACTTTTCTAGTGCGTTCCTTACCTTAGAGTCCATGTTGATGTACTGTTTGAAATCCTCATCCTTGGCCAGAACTCCCTTCGAAATGATGTGATCATACTGAAGGCACACCGTTGGGATGAATGGCCCTTTCTCCGCCTCCGCTAACCATGTGATCTTTTGAGTTTTCTTATAATCCTAATGTTTAAAAAAGAATAAATAAGTAAACTTCAAAGAAAAGAATGAAAGTAATTTTTTACTAACTATTCAGCAGTTTTAAATCAAGTTTAGTACAAAATCTGATTCCTCATTAGCATGAGGAAGTTATGAATACCATTCTTATAGTTTTAAGGACAAAGGGAAAAAAAATTAAAACCACATATTCTAATAGCAACTAGTGCCTGCATTGGAGTGCAAGTCACAGACTAGTGTACTGCCAACTGAGGAATAAGAATAATCAGTGATTGACTACAAAAAAACAGGATAAAAACTGGTCTTCTTCTAAATAATATGTTACATAATTCAACTTCAAGCAAATCAAGCAAATGAAAATAGAAAAGAAAAAAAAATGGTCCACAGCCACTGGAATTTTTTTTTAATTAGCAAAACAAAACAATGAATTTAAAAAATCAATTTACCGTGTTCTCGAGATTCAACTCAGCATCGATGGAGGAGATTTTGCCACTTGAATCCCTGCAGCAAATACAAGAAAACAGAATTACTGAATGCTAAAACCAAACACCACTACGACATTAATCTTCTGTCTGAATCTCTCAGTTCCAGTAAAAATCAGTTTGTGGCATGAAAGAGAGTGTACCAAAGTTGGCATTGTGCAAAAAATTGAGGGGTTTTTATAACAAAAAAGTCAGACCCCTTTTCTCAGAAAAAAAATGCTTCTTTACACACTGAGATCTCCACATGCTTAAATAAAATAAAATTGTCATATTTAAGATTCATACCACACTCAAAACGGGAAACAGTTTATCCTACTTCTTCTAGTAAGATACAACTAATGTAGTTCACTCAGAAAATTGCCAAAGAGAAACCAATATACTAGCAAAAACCCATGACTGCCAGAGCAACAATTTCCTTTGACAGGAAAAGTATGTATTTGTATCCAAAACAATAAGTGATGTGCATTACCAATATCTTGTTAATCATTAAGAAAAGAGTAAAACTCAATCTCAGGGACATGAGTGCAAGAATCTTTTGAAATAAAGAAAGGTAATTGAAATGTATAGCTATCATTTTGTACCATCGACAAATAAATGTTATTCCTCACTTGTTTATTTTCTTGATCACAATATTGCCCCAGTTGATGAACGTGACAACCTCTCCCTCTTTCATCACCAGTGCGTCAGCCCCATCAATGAAGATTCTGGGTCCATACCACACTTTTTTGTTTCCAATGTCTGCATTCTGTTCAAAGATGGTTCACAATCACTATCAAAACAAAGGCACAAACAAGAAGCAATGGTAACCTTGAAGAGCATAACTAACATACAGTGCAAAAATACATACAAGTCTGCCATGTTAAATCTAAATCACTGAAGAAAAGAAAGTTCTAATGGGAACATCATAACAGCTAACAACACACAAAAAGAAATAAGTAGCCTACCTAAACGACAAGAAATCAAAGGCATACCTACTTGCCTAGCATTCTTTCTAAATAAACTTGCAGAAAATAATGAGAAGAGTCACTATCAAAACTTTATACCAAATACAAAGCCAATTCATAAAAACCAATTTCAAACGATCTTTGTGTGTACAGTGAACTAATTTTTAAAAACTAATACGGTAACTATTCATCTACAAGGGTTGCAAACTTCTTACCTTTGGATGTTTGGCCACATCCTTTGACTCCACTTTTGCTCCAGCAATGTTCACCTGGACAACATCAGCCTCCAAAAGAGCAGTGAACCGAGGAACCACAGGATCAATCACCTAAAATGATGAAAAAGGAGAATATCTTTTGATGGACTAGAAGTAGAGGAAAACTATAGCCCCCTCTCCAGCCCAGTTCAAATTGCTTGATATAGAGCACAACACCTAAAGCCGTCATGAGGGTCACAACAGAGTTGCAGTTGTATTTTACAGGAACAGAAAACAGTTGGTTGTGATCATTGTGATGCATGAACACATTAGAAATTATTCTGTACTTTCTACCGGACAATCCATTCTTCTGCTGAAACAATGACATACACAAAACAAAAAAATCAAAACCAAACAAACAAATACACACTCACAAAGTATTGACATCTCTCAAATCATCAACACAAGTTTTGTTTTGTGTGTCATCCAGCATCTAGCTAACATATGCACTTCCCGCACACACAAATATAGTATAGCCATCAAAATTAGCTTCCAAGAGTCAAAAGTTTACATGTATCTGCAAAGCATGTTGGCGATCAAGCATGGAAATGTGGCTTTCCGTAAATCCTTGTCTGAGATCATAGAGGACATCAATGTTATGCTCATGACTAATGCAGGAAGTCATATGCACATCAAATAGAAATCATAATGGAGGACAATTTCATTTTTTTAATTACGTAGAAAGAATTAATACCTTCTTGTTGTAAGCCCAAATCTTGTCCCATTCCATCATATTCACAGATCGAGAGGAACCCTGAAGGGAAAAATGTACATGTACCATAAGATACAGCTTATCACACAATTGTGGGATAATGAATTAACTCATTCGCTACGTATTATTTTCGGCTTGTGGACAAATTTTTTTTCGGGAGGTCGAATGAGATGACTAGTGCGCAGTAAAAAGGTCCTTTCGGGCCACAAATTCAAATAAATATCAAAGTATTATATACCAATATTTTCAGTATGGTTTGTAGAATACATATGTAATGTTTATTTATGTATTTTTCAACTTTGGTTCCTGTAAGAGACGATTATGCAACACAATTTTGATAGGATGCGGATAAAATTTGTAAAAAAAAAAATCTTTGGTGAAACTAAAAAAATATGTTTGCACCTAGTCAAATGATACATCAAAATAACCATAAATGAATGTAGAATTGGAAAATATTGAAAAGTTTGCAGTTATTTACCTACATTCCGTAATATTTGTACATTTTGAACATAAAAATTTTTTTTTCAATCTTGAGAAACGATCACAAACAGAAAAAAACCCACTCGTATCTTTTATGGAATTATTCAGAATTGCATTTGCAATAAACCCAAACATGTCTTGAGTGGCACTTTTTGTGTAGTTTCATTTAAAAAAGTAGTGATTTTGGGTAGAAAAAAATATTTTGACAATTTAGATCTAGACCTAGATCTAGCACTCAAAAATATTGATTTCTCAATAACAGAGTAATAATAATAATGAGTCCAATCGTATCAATATTATAAAAAAGAGTCCTCCATTTCATTAGTGAGCAAAATAATGATAGATTTTGTTGTGTAAAATAGCTAAGACTGGTGTCCGGGCTATAATTTTGGCATTGCGATAAAACAAAGTCGAATAACTACGAAATCGCTTTTCAAAGCTGAATCTAAATTTCCGATTTTCAGTGGAAATGCTTGACCCGGAAGTCAACATTATATTATGACCTTTATTTTAACATGGATATGTGGATTGGAATAGAATCTAAGCTAAAATTGAAAATCGGTTCTCGAGCCGCCGGGGGCGGCTTAGCATACTGACGGCACTTTAGCCGCGCCGTCCCCCACGGCTCGGCCTAGCAAATGAGTTAATTGAACCAAACAAGTCAATCTTCAGTTAAAAACCCAGTCAATTTTGCATTAAAAAAGAAAATTAAAGTTTCAGTACTCAAAAGTTGAGCAAGCCCATGCTGTAAATTATACACAAGTTGTTTTTTTAACCACTTCGCTGCCACGGGATGTGCCTTCTTACTGTCAGCACCGATTTTCAGCTAAGCTCATTAGCTAGGACAGCAGTATCACGTCTCAGGGTTAGGAGACTCAGTCTACATCGAGCCCATTTGTGACATACTTCAGACCCTGAGTTTTCAATTTCTCATTCTCTATATTTCCCATCTTACACATAACTCTGAAGAACTTGCAAAAAGTTAAAAAGTGAAATTTTTTGCCCTCTTCATGTCATTTTGGGGTTTACATTTTGCAAGAGCCTGTGATCGTCCTCAATGCTAGATCTATGTTTATCAATCGTATGCAAGCCTAGTAGTAAAGTAATACTTGCAAATTTGGTACCAATATGCCCATTTTTTATTCCTGAATACGAATCCACACTGTGTTTGTTGCTTAATCTCTGTACAGAAGAATTAGAGCCAATGATAAGCACAATATACATATAATGTCACACAGGTAACCAGGAACAGCAAATTTTGCCCAATTCTTTGATGTACATGGTACGGTACAAAGCTAAAAATGATGCTTTTTCCTGACGTACCAGGTAAGTTATAAGGCAACGAAGGGGTTAAATGTATTTTTAAAAGGCAAAATGGAACTAAGAACATGGATTATTCATAACTTGTCAAACACAAACTATACGCTTCACTATACTTATCATTCAGAAGGTAAAGACACTAAAATTCTCCACTTAAGATGCCTCAAAGACATAAGACTATTTCATAAAACTGTTTTATTACCTGTGTGATAATGAACTGCTTCAGACCTTCCACAGTCATTCCTCTTCTCAAAACTCCACGTACAGTGGGGAACCTGGGGTCATCCCTGTAAATGAAAGCAACACTTAAAATGAGAAATAGGTGACAACTATCTTTGACATTAGCAGGGGGAGGACAAGGAAAAGTTGAACAAAGACGGGGAGGAGGAGAAAGAGGAAAGACAAGCAAAAGAAGAAGAAGATGAGTCAAAATTGTAAGCAAAATCATAAGTCTCCAGCACAATTGAATTTTGAGCTAAAATAGCAGGAAAAGATTAAATCCTCACACTAGTTTAACTTATACGTTACGTACCATCCCTCAACAAGGCCCTCAGCAACAAACCATGTCAGCTTTCGTTTCGACATCACAGTGTTCTGCAAGTTGAGCCGACTGTACTCATAGATATGTGGCTTGCGCAAACCTGTAGATGAAAATGCAGGAAGGAGAACATAATCATAATTGTATTTATGTATTTTCAAAAGCCACCCAAGTCATCACGGCTACACTAAAAAATCAACAAAAAACCCTCGTTCAACATTCAGAGAAGTCTGGGGTGACACCTGTTCCCTACATTCTGACTTGTTCTGCTGACTTCATGTTGAAAGTAATGGTACATCCCAAAGAGAAATTTGACTACAGAAAAGGACAACATCAACTTATATAAGAGCAGTAAATGTCATCCAAATTATGTCAGACAAATCAGATTCTTTTCCGTTATTGCTTCTATTCAAACTTACTGATTTAAAAAGAAAAAATAAGTCAAACAAAAGACAGTTGGGCAGAACAATCACCGGAAATTCAATATTGTTTTTTTCCCCTTTGATTTCATGACAAAAGTGTTAAAAAAGTAAATAAATAAAAACAGGAGAAATAAATGTCATTTCTCACCAAGAGCTTCCAGGAACCAGAAATACTGGTCATCTCTGTCGTGGTACTCTGTGGTACGCAGAGCATGAGTGACACCCTCTACACTGTCCACTATGGGGCAGGCAAAATCGTAGGTTGGGTAAACCCTGGAAGAAATTAAATCACCATTATTCTCCTATCAAGAGTTCTTATTTACTTTTGTTACATAACAGAGAAAGACGTTCGCTATATGGTTCTAGAGAGGGAGGGAAAGAGAAGGTGAGGGAGAGGGAGAGGAAAAGGGAGAGGATAAAGGAGAGGGTAAGGGCGAGGGAGAGGGCAAGGAAGAGAGAGAGGGAGAGGAGTGGGAGAAAGAGAGAGGGGGGGAAAGAGGGGGAGGGCAGCAGTATTTTCACAAAATCTGTGAACTTTTATCTCTTCCACAAAACATAAATTCACGGTTTCCAATTCTTACTTGTACTTGGTGCCAGTCCTGACATGGGACTCATTCTTGCAGCGATACATCGTTGGGTCCCTCATACAGCCATTGTCAGACTGCATGTTCAGCTTGGCTCTCACACAACACTTCTGGCCTTGCTCAGTTCCCTTCTTCATCTGCTCCCACATTGCAAGATTTTTGGCAACATCTGAAATCATTAGAGATAAAGTGAAAATTACTTGGAAGCAAGAAAATAATTATACACCATACATTTAATAAATTTGTGTAAAATCTAACAGAACAAAATGTCCTGCCCATATTCTTTGGAGGTTTCCAATTATGGGAGAAAAAGTCACATTAACTGTGAGTAACATGGGTATCCTAACCATTACTAGATGGAGGGAATGATTGAGAAGAGACAGAGATGTGTCTAAAAGCAAATGAGTACATCGCAATTTGCAGAAATGTAAATGATAGTAGATTTCTATACTATGTTGGCATCCTCCAACAAAAATAAGTTTATTACAACAACAAAAATAGACATTGCATTTGCATTTTTTTCTCAGAGAAAAGAGGAATTTTCTTTCCAAACAGCAGATACCTACCATTACTTCTGTTTTTAGACTCCGCCCTCTCCTCCCTCTCTTTCTTCATGACCTCTGGCTCGGTGTCATCAACATAAGCTGTTCCATCACGCAACATGTGCTCACAGAAGCCCAAAAGAGAGTCAAAATGATCAGAGGTATGGCTGAACCTGTCATAGCTGACGCCCAGCATCTCCAAATCTTTCAAGATCACCTGTGATTGTAAAGAGACAATTTAAAAAAACAAATCAACATACAGAGAAGGACATTAACTCCATCGGGACGCATCGGCTTGAGCTCCGCTGGAGACACATCGGACGTATACGTCCGATAGCATTTCTCAACCATTGTATCCGCACAAATGAAGGTATTCCAGGGAACAAACTTTTGGTTGACATTGCTACGCCATATTTTATTCTGTATTTATTTAGTTTTGACCATATAGCATCGTTTTTTGTAATTTTCTGTGGCGATTTCTGAAGGCAGTCGGGGCGACAAAGAACATGGATCTTTGAGGAGTACCATACAAAGAATGACTATTCAGAAAGACAAACTATTTCTTCACAGTATTTCGACTGTAAATTGTGTCAGGATTGTTTTCAGCTGCGTTATAGTTGTGTTGTAACTTTATCTTGTTTGTTTCTTCATTTCTTCACTGTCAACTGAGCGGAAAAAATAATCTTTTTAATGTCTCATACACCATTTTCGTACGGGTCCTGGCAAGTTTAGGAATATATCCAGGCAAATTGGGTTATATCTAAGGAAAAGTTCAAATGTTGAACGTGTAGATAGTGAAAGCAGACTTTAAAAATATCAAAAGGGGAAAAAATGGCAGTCTTTCAAAGTTGACCCAAAATCGCACGTCTCCCGGTGCAAATTCGGTCCAAAACCTGCGTTCCAAATGAGTTAACACTAGAATTGCCATGAACAGATGGCGGAAAAATAAGAGACAGAGATAAATGCAACAGAGGGGCAGTGTTCAAAATCTGCATATATCAGAACAAGAACAGTTTAGAAAACTTCATTTAATTATTGGATAGAAACTATTCTATTGATCAAAGAAGTATAAAACATTAGCTTTCAAGACATCTCATAAAAAAGGGTGAAAAGCAATCACTGGCATTTGAGAATATTCTTACAATGCTGTATTCAAACATATAACATAGCTGCCACTCAGGAATTTCAAAAAAGGAGGAAATTCATGCGACGGCGTACGCACGCTCTCCGAAGGCCGGAGTAAAACCAGTGAGATCCAGAGGCAATATATTGGAAAATTTAGCCTATGGTTTAGGACAGGAAAACTGTCACATTTGTTAACCATAGGCTACTGAATTAAAATGTATTTGAAAAACAAAAAACAAACAAAAATAAAAGGCACTAAGTTGGCTAACAAGCATTTGACACAGTTTGATTACTAAAAATCCAGTGTTTGATGCCAGCTGGTGTCCCATAAAAAGATTTCTAACACTTTAAACTTGCACATCAATGAAGAGCAGTATTGGATCAAGGAGACAACACCTTTGCCGCTGTACTGAGCTATTTCGGCACTCCTGTACAATTGCGGTCCCGTTTGCTCTTAGTGCCCCTGTAGTGTGTTTCTGATTTAGATTCTAGATCAAAACTGAATTAAAATTATAGCCTAGGATATCTAATCTAGAATCTAGATATCTAAATATGTGTAGATCTAGATTATATCTAGAGATAGATTATCTAAGCTATCTAGGTCTAGATTACATTCACTTCCACAGCCACAATAGCCGTAATGCAAACAAACAGGACCATAATTGTACAGGAGGAGTGCCGCGATGTCTTTATCGGACCAAACGCAAAGTGCAGCAAGCGGCTTGTTCAATTTTCTAATTAACCTTTCAAGTCGCACACCGGCTGCTTCTTTCTCATTCCAGCTCCTTTAATTTTTGCATTCTGCATCAATTTCTCTCGAATTTCCGCCGTTTTCAATGACCACTCGGCGCGCCAAGTGTCGCTCCACAATAAACAATGTGAAAGTGAAACTAGCGCTAAGCCTAGGCACAGAAAAACCGAAGTAGAAAGCTACGGGCGGACATGCGCAAGCTGCGTTTTCGTCTCTCTCCCTGTACGCTGTTTTCCGCGGGTGAAAAAAAAAAGTATCGCAATTTGCGACCGAGAGCGGTCCAGCGGAGGAAGGAGGAAAGTAGCGGGAAAAGGTAGATGAAGCGGAGTTTCCGCTATTTAGCAGGAAAGTGGCAGCTATGATATTATTGCTGTGAGTATGTTTTCAATGCACCTTCTCAAACTCTGCATTTTCCTTGGCAGGATTTGTATCATCAAAACGCATAATGAGGGTTCCCTTGAAAGTGTCTCGGTAGTACTGGTTCAGAAGTGCAGCCTTGGCATGACCGACGTGCAAGTACCTGCAAGAACAATAAAAGAGTGACTTTTGAAGAATTTAAGCAGACCTTAAAAATCTATATTAAATTCAAGACACAATGTTAGTCTAAACAAAAATTAATTACCTTCAAACTCTTCAATTTTTATTATACTGTTTTAACTTGACTGTCCATTATGAAAAATAGTCAAGTATCTTGATATAAATAAACTGTAAAAATACTGACCCACTGGCTTCGGGAGGAAAGCGCACAACAACTTTCCCTATCTCTGCACCAGGCAACTCCACAAACTTTCCTTCATCCTTCTTGATCTGAAACAAGACCCATCTCATCAAATTAGGCCATGGAAAGATTTCATGGGGGGGGGGGGGGGGGGGAGAGAATAAGATTAGTAAAGGCAGAAAAGTACAAAAACCAGAGCACAGTACAGAGCAGAGATAGATGCTTAATTCATGTCTTTGTGATTATACAATCTTTTGTTATCCTAGGAATGATATTAAAATGTAAACTGAGTTGCACTCTTCAACAAGACAACATAAAAAAAGACTTATTTTACCCTAAACAAGCTAGGAATAGAAAGAATTTTGTGATAAAGAAGTAAAATAAAATTCGGATTTCAGAAAACACTGTTAAGTTAAAAATGTCATCTCACTAGAAATACCGTTAAAACTTCACTTACTTTTACTTACTTTACTATCTAATCAGGTTCAATCAAGCCCTTTAACCAGTTGCTGTTAAAACCAACAGAAAACTTTTACACTTCTTCAAGAGTTATGGACAATACTATTCAAAAGTAAGGCTTCATTCTTTCAATCAATTAAATAAATTAATCTGAAGACCGAAGTGTAGAAAAGAAGTGAACACCAGTTATCAATGCTTAAATACCAAGGTCAAATTCAAATACTCACATTGGGCTCAGCTGTCCTGCCCTTCTTCTCTTTCACTGCTGCTCCAGGAAACTTAGCAGCCACGTCCCCAAAGATTTTCTGAGAAGTCAAATGAGAATAAAAACGAAGCACATTGGCAGGAGCATCACCTGCAGCCTTAGATGACTGCCACTGGCTGTTTTCTGTGGAATTGAAAAACAAGCAAACTTTAAAACTCATTCAGATTTACACTCTTTTCAATAGCATAGCAGTTGAAAATAATAAACTTTTGGTACACATTAGTCGTGATAAACAGAACTATGATTAAAATTTCTCAGGCATATCAACATACTGACCTTCAAGCAGACTGCTCCAGCCAGCTCCCAACTACAGAAAGTCACCCAAACACTGTAACACTCTCGCAAAGAGCAAATAAAAGAAAACAGGACAAAAGTAACAGATACAAAAAAAATGGTTCAGGGAAAAGTGACCAACAATAAAACAAAAGCCAAGCTTTGTAAAAGATGAAAATAGCTAAAAATAAATCTAGAGGATAAGTCATTCATATCTTACGGTGTAATACTTCCCACACAGCAAAGTCAGCAAGAGTAAGTGACTGCCCAACCAGAAAAGTAGCTGGTCTTAGGACTTGATCCAGGTAAGTAACAGCATTCTTGTAATCAGTAGTGCTGGACAGCTGACCGTACGCAAAGTTGAGCCAGTGGTCCACCTAAACAATAAAAAGGGTACATCAGAACCATAGACATTACAGTTCTTCCACCATCTTCTTCGTTGGCCTTCCACTGTTACGGCAGAGGTGTAGATAACTGTACATTGTTTTTCCGATCAATCATTGAAACATCAAGTCAGCTAATCATAAACAAGGAACAAAAAGCCACATACATAAACTGCCATAGATCACTTCTACAAAAAGCAATTTCATTTGTTACAACACAAAGATCGCCATACATACATGATACATAAAAAGCCAGTCTCAATAAGAAGTGCCACAAGTTGTTCTCTTTCTTTTTCATCCTAACAGACTTTTGCATTATCTATAACACTCATTGACAAACCCTTTAGATGGAAGGCCATTAAAATAATTATCGGAAAACAGAGACAGAATGAGAGGCGCAGAAACCGCTTTCAAATAACTGTCAGCATATTTATAAGAATCTAATAAAAGGCGGCAAACCTAATTTTCAAAAATTAGAAGCACTGCTTTTTCTTTTTTCACATCTCATGATTATTTCATCTACATATGACATGATTGACAAGGGACACGTGCAACTGGTACCTCGGTCTTCTGAAGAGCATCTTGGCCGTACAGATTCAGGCTTGGATAAGAACGTCCCAGAAATCGCAAAATTGAAGCTGAGTTGAAAAAAGCCACCTCCCTGTAGAGTACACATCAATCATATCAGAGGCAGAACACTACAATAAAATCTAGAAAGTGAAGTCCTTGTCCTTACAATTTCCTTCACTCATTGGACATTAGATAGACATAACATTCTGACACATATTCCATAAAATTCAAATATTTCACAGATACATCTGGGGGCTTCAGTCGGTGAATGAGTTATGGGTTCAGACTAAAAAATAATGTAAAGCAAGTGTCTGTGACACAGCGTTCAGACGGGTGGTCACTGGGGTGTGTCCTGAACACGATAACCCAAGCTAAAAAAAAACAACAGGGGGCTGCGCAGTGGCAACCAGTAATGGCATGATTGTGAAATTGTTCTGCATTGATGTGATATTGTTCATTTTGGTATTCTACGTATACATATATATTAGTGCGTTTGATTGTTCATGTATGTGTAAGTTTACCATTGTGACCCAAACTTCCCTGCCGAGATCAATAAAGTATGATTTTGAAATTTAAAAAAAAAAATTTTTTTTTTATTTTGAGTGTATTGAGAGGCTTTTAGCATTTCCAACTTATGATTGCAAAGTTAACAGAAGAACTATTGATTATTGATTACTTACTTATTGACTTTCAGATTGTTAGCATCACCAAAGGTCCACTTGACTGTGAGTTTGTTGGAGGTCAAATACTCAGCAACTAAGACAGCAGCTGAACAAGAAAGCAAATTTTGTTTATCACAGAAAAAAACCAAGAGCACTTCAAAATAAAATCAGTCATCCTAAAGGAAAATTCTAAAAGTAAATGACCATTTGATATAACAGGTAACAATGACAAAAGTAGTTGTGGGTTGCCTTTGTCTTTGCTGTTGAATCATCCACCAAGGCAAAAAAGCTTGACAATAGCCAGAGTGTTCTTTTATTCAAATGACGATATATATCTCCTTTGCTTTATTAGCATGACAATGGCCTATGTTCTTAAATGAAAACATATTATTGAAGGAAACAAAGTGTACATATTTATCTCCCATTTCAATGAAATTTTGTATTGAGGATCACTACTACTGCAGACTTTCTTCTATATTTGTGAACAACATCAGTGAGAGTATGACTATGGTGTACTTGGAACAACACGATGTATTGTTCCTTTTTAAAAAGAAGAATTCTGTTGTAGATTTTCCATCTTTGTGCTCTACTTGGAACATTAAATTGAATTATATTGTCATGACAATGACACTTGCCAGTAAAATTTATTAAAGATAGTTTTAGTTTTAGTGTGTAGGAGGCTAAGTTAGTAGTTGTAAGGAGGCTAAAGCTGGGAATCCATAGGCACCGAAACTGAACGCCACTGGGCTAAAATGTGCGGTATTGCAAGTGTCAACTTCAATGTTTGAATCCACAGACATGGCACGGCAGGTTTGCCTTAATTTTAGTAAGATTTTACTGCTCTTGCAACTGCATAAGTTCATATGAGCGTCAAGAGGTGGACGTCAACAGAGAAGTCCAAATGGGGAATCAGGCTTACTCTGTTCACCTCTCTAGCCTCAACAGCATAAAGTCGGGTATTTATCTTTGTCAAGATAACAAAATATAACAACTGATAATAACAAATAAGAACTGATAACAAATAACAACTGATAAAACAAAAACACTTTGATTTTGATTCCAGCCTCAAAAATTAATTTTCATGTGGTCAACCAGGCCCCTATTTTACATGCAAAACTCCAAGGAATTACCAGAAGTAAAATATTCTTTAGCGATGACCGGAGTTGTGTCCCTTCTTTTTGTTTACATTAAAATCAAAAGTAAAATCGCAACAAACAATTTATCTGAAAAAAACGAAATCCTATCTCTTCATATCTTTTTTCTCACCAACATGCATATATATATATATATATATGACATATTAGACATCAAAATTTAATTGATTAATCGATTAAAAATATAAATTCCATGTATGATTGTAGAGTCTAGATCTGAAAAATCCTGTAGTTTCATTACTGGTACGTCCTGTTGTATGTAATCATGTCATCACCATTTGTTGTCCTGTCATACAGTTTTGTGTGACAATGAAAATATTATCATTATTAAAAAGTTGTATTGGATTGATCATCTTGCGTACAAGCACGTTTGTGTTGATATTTGTCGTTATTTTGTTACTATCAGTTGTTATTTGTTGATATTACATCAGTTATTTGTTGTTATCATTTGTTGTGTCAATGTAAACTACCTTGAAAACTAAGTATTTCAACTAAATTAGGACGTTTGTGTTATTATTTTGTTATTTGTTGTTATCTCGACAAAGATTATACCAAGGTAGACTACCTTAAAAACCAAGTAAAATCAACTAAATTGGGACATTTGTGTCCTTCTAAGATAAATACAGCACAAAGTCTTCTTCGACTATCAAGGTACCCCAGCAATAGCAGTTGACAAGAGAGTGAAAAACATACAAAAGAAGTAGAGGAAATGACGATAGCAAGGATGAGGAAAGAAAAAGGGGCAGTTCCTCTTATGTCGTTCCGGCAGTTTGAGCATGACATTGATAAATCAGCCATTTACAATTTTACTGTGCATAAGAACATGTTAATATCCCCCTTTTGGGAAAGGGAACGACCTAAAGACATCTTCAGTCAGGAGCACTGCCCTGGTGTATGGGGGGGGGGTTTGCACCTTTTTTCTTTGACCACCCTACCCCAGGTGAGAATAGCTATGACCCGCTATTCTCACCCCCACCCCGGTGTGAGCATGAGGCGAGCCTTAATGTTCTTAAAATTAGGCTAGATCTAGATATAATTGTGAGGACCCAAAGGTATCAACTGCGTTCTCTTAACATTTCATCCTTGCATAACCATAGAATTTTTTTTCACTGTTGTTTGCTGTTCAAGGTGTGAAATGGCCTTCACCCACCCCATTAAACTTGAAACTTATCTCAACAACTTATTAAAAAAAATTATTCTCAGTGCTGTTCTGTGTGTGTCTCTGTGCTATAGACTATAGATCTACTGTATGTTAGCACACTGAGGGGGGTGAGACTAGAGCCTAGACATAAAAGGCCATAGCTATTCTGACCCCTGGTGAGAATAACCACTTATTTTGTTTAGTTTCGATGCATAGAATCTAGCCACATCAAGCAGCATGGCACCTATTGAGGCAAAATAGTCTAGGTTTGTGAAACAAGAGAGCCCACAACGCAACGTGGCATTTTCACGGGAATATTTAGATCTTCTAGATCTAGGTGTCACATCCACATTTAGAATCTATCTCTGCGGCACCTCTGCAGCAGCGGCAAAATGACTTCTTGTGCCCGTTTTAAAAAGCGCTGAAGCCAGAACCGCAGAACTGCCGGTACCGTCCCGCTGCCGTTTCGTACTAATGGATTCAGACAATGAAATTTATGTTAGAACGATCTGTACTGTCCTGGTGCCGTTTCCGTACCTAACCTAAGGAACCCAGCTTTAGACTTTATTTTAGACACTTTAGTTGAACAGTAACAAGGCCACCTCTATTCTCACCCGGGGTGAGAATAGTGCAGGTGAGTCTTTTGACTATTCTCACCCGGTGCGCGTTCACCGTTATAGGAGCCTAGATCTAGGCCAACAAATTTTGCGTTCACCCTAAACCACAGAATTCTACACTGTGATAACAGAAAAATTGTAGAATTCTGTGCCGTGAACAAACGTTCCATTACAACTGTAGCCTACTAAAACTAAAACTAAAAGCGTACAATTTTGTCTGTGGGCAGTGGAGAGAGAGAGAGAGAAAGAGAGAGAGAGAGGAGTAGCGCGAGAACTTCCGGTCAAAACAAAATGGCGACCCGCGTAGTTCGGCTCGATTCGAAAAGTTAAATAGCCGTAGCATCTTTGTAGACAACCAAATTAATTTACTTTTGTGTTTTAACATCATTTTTCAACTTTGTTTTGGTCAATTTGATCGTCCACACCAATAGACAGTATTCAGTATTCAGAAAGAGACAGACAGAGAGAGAGGGGGGAGGAGTAGATCTTGCGAGAACTTCCGGGCAAAACAAAATGGCGACCCGCGTAGTTCGGCTCGATTCGAACAGTGAAATAGCCATAAACATCTTTGAAGACGATCAAATTAGCTTACTTTTGTGCTATAACGTAATTTTTTCTTGGCTTTTATCAATTTGATCATCCACACCGATAGACAGTATTCCAAAATGAGGAAAACCAGGTCTTGTTTCGCACGGGGTGAGAGGTAGATCGTTTTTCTATTCTCACCCCGGATGAGAATAGCCACTTCCCAGTAACAAACAGGCCCCCATCAAACACAATAAAGAAGAGGCCTAACCCTAACCCTAACCCAAACCCTACCCCTAGATCTACCCCTACCCCTAGTCCTCAATTCTGCTCTGTCTCATTGTGGTCGCTCGTTACGGAAGTCCTCCCCAGGCTAATTTACAGGACAGAGACAGGCTAGAAATCTAGATCTAGGCTAGAATCTCAGCAGTCTGAAAATCATTCGTATCATATGTGTATGGACGTAGATATCTAGATCTAGATCTATGTATACACACCCAGAGCTGGCTTGTCTTTGTTGATGGTGATACTTGTATCCATCTCTCAAAATGTTGTACACTCTAATTGTGCAATGATTTGTTTATATAGAGCTAATCTAGATCTAGGCCCTGTGCAAGCAGGTGTTGCAGACTATTTCGTGATGCCAGGAGTGAGGAAGGAGAAGGAATCGGGAAGGATTCACAGACACCGGAAGCAGGCTGTGGCACTCGATTTCTTGAGAGTTACTGTTCCTGATATTACCAAGGGGTGGTTTCAAAGTTTTATTACTATTACTCTTGTTTTCATCATTCCCTCATATCACAGAGCATTCTATACTTATTCTTATCAATGTACAGGTTTTTTCCGATTTCAATACGTTTCTTTTTACTTTAAATATTCTACTATTTTTTCAAAAGGATCTTCCACCGGTAATAATAGTAGGCCTTATTTTAACAAGTTTGGCGTCCTTTTTTGTTTATTTGTTAGTACAGGTACCTTAATAATTGTCGTTTATTTACCCTTGTTTCGTTTGTTTTGATTGCTTGTTTGTTTGTACGTTTGTTCTGATTAGTTTTGTTTTTGGGTGTCTGTCTGGGTTTTTTTCTTGGGGTGGGTGGGGGGAGGGGTATGAGACAGAAGAACATGTACCAGGGAACGAAAGAGATAACCCCGTATCATCATGACAAACGAGCCGCTCGAGGTGTTTGCGGTTATGGTTATTGTACTTCGGCGG